CATCTTTATGTTCTGCCAAAAAAAAAAAAAAAAAAAAAATCAGCTAGATCTCCATTCAAGCTCTTTTGATGTTGGCTTGTCTTTGTAAGCTTAGTCACACAGGAAGATCAAGATTGCTTCGTATTGGTGGCTTGCATGCTCAGTTATCAGGAGGATAAAGACTAGAAATGCTGTAGGCACAGGACCTCAAATTCATGTAGATCATAATTTCCTGGCGGTGGTGGGTTGACTTGCTTGAAATCCACAACTTGTTTAAGGATATTCAGCAGGTGTTGGTAATGATACTGTTTCAAATGTTGCAGGCTTTTCTTGGCAAAATCTCTTCAAACGTTGATAGAAATTTTAAAAACTTGGAAATTTTTTCTTTTTAATTTAAGAATTCAACACATTAAAAATGTTGAAAATCCTCCATAGGCAACTGGAAAAAAACTTCTTAAAGTTTTTATCTTTCTAGGATAATGCTTATTCTGTTCTTGTTAAGTTAAAGAGTAAAGATGGGGCTAAAAATAAAAGATTTTAACTTAAATTGACTTAAAAGAAATTTTTGTTTTTGTTATTACAACAGCTTAAAATACAAAACTGTTACTCAAATGTTTGTTTCCAACAAACCGTTTTCTTTTTATTTTAATTGGTTCTCTTTTCTTCAGTATCTTTGGATGTGTTATCATCATCATCATGATGAGAAAACATCGTATAGCTCCTTGACCTTCACGTAGCAGTATTTGATAATTACTTCAGTTTAAGGATTATCAAAATTTAATGTCTGAAAGATTAAATATGCTAAGTATTATGTTTAACAATATATCTTAAAAAAAGTATGAAGATTATATATATTTCATCTTTTAATCAGTTTTACTCATTTCATTAATATATAGCCATCCTATTTGAGCTCTAGTGTGCTGGGATTTGTAAAATTTCTCTCAGCGGGCATGCATTTAAGACCATTAGCTTTCCTCACTGGGGATTTGTGAGAGAATTGATAAAAAAAGTACCCCATTCCATAGCTGAGTAGCACAATTGGCAATAGCTAAGAAACCTCGTTTTGTAACGACATAACAACATGTACTATATGAAACTACAATAATAATAAGATTCGTCAAATATTGCTTGTTAGAGGCTGGTCTACTTAGCAGGGCTAATCTGAACAAATCTATCTAAAGCATGCTTCTTTTCCTTTCATACTTATAGAAACTTCTAGGTCGTGTGCTATAGTGATGTATTTTTTTCAGTTAACTTTAAATGTCAATAGTTCAGTTACATTATTTACAATTCTATCACTATAAGAGATTTTCGAATGAGAAAACTTCACCCCACCAAGCCACTTAGGCCAGTTTCTTTTGTTATATACTCTCATATAACCAGGCTTTTTTCTTCATAGATATCACTTCAATCTGTGATTAAGGTTATTTTCTCATTTATGTATCTATTTGACTATGTATCTTCCCCATCTGGGCTTCTGAAGCACAGGGACACGAGGACCATGCCTTTTTACTCTTCACTGACTGTCCAGCACTCAGCATAGTGGTACTCAAAAAATATTTATTAATAGTTATTTGCTATTAAAAATTTCTCTGTACTCATACGTAACAGATATTTCTCTAGTTATTCAGCCTTGGGGGCCATTCAGAATGTGTATTAATAGTTACTTTGTGCTTTGGTCCCTCAAATTTCTCTCTAGTTCAGTTAAATGAGAGCTGATTGCTTGGAAGTCTCTACTGCTCTTCCATTAAAATGTGGCTACTCCAGCATCCTGGACCTGACTTCCCAGCATAGGCCCGAGAACCCATTGGCCGTGGCTGCTGCCACCGCTGCCCCCATCTCCCACACCTGTGTGCAGGGTGCCATGACTTGACACAAAAGCTGCATTCTCCAGGGAGACAGGCACTATCAGGGCTAGAGCCAGCTTTGTCCCCGTTTCATGAACCCATACGTTTCTGCTTCCACTCTTGGTAAACTCAGGACCCCTCTGTAGCTAGAGACTATTGAATATCTTGTTTGTTTCATCCTAGACCATAAGTAGGCTCCCTAGGAACAAAGTTGTTATTTTTCTATACTCAGTGTCTAACCTGCTGGCTGACACAGTTTTGTACCTTTAATAAATGCTTGTGGACCAAGCATATTTGAGGGGATATTTTTCTACTTCTTTGCTAGAAACTTGAGGCTTTAGTTTTATTCTTTTTGGTAAAATTGAACCCAGAGCCCATTATCAAAGGAGCTATCTAGGTACTCTGTTTCCAATGCTCTGAAGTTGTTTTATGAGTTGTTTCGTACCATTCCGTACCCATCCTGGCCTGAGTATTCTCTCTTTCCTCTTCCAGGGAGGTGTGTGTTCATCAACCAGGCTGTGTTCAACAATCCTAGCTATGTTCCAGATTCTCCTTGCCCAGCTAGCCACATGTCTCCCATTCCCAGGCATAATTTTCAGTGCAAGAGAGGAAAGGGAATTTGGGCTATGAAAGTGTTCATTCATTTTTTAAAATGTGACTTTAAGGCAATATATAGAAGCAAACATTTGCATTAAATTTATTTCTACATTTAGTATTGTTATTTGGAGTTGTAGATGTAAAATGTTTTCAGATTTTTATGAACTTAAAAATATCTGTTAACTAGGTCTCGCCTTCATACTCTCTCGGCCCATCTGTGCGTTTGTTTGTTTTGTTTTTTGTTTTTTTGTTTTTTTTTTTAATAGGACAACTTTGTTTTAGACCTTAACATTGTTGGCTTTTCCCCATGCTGGTTTTCATCACGATAGCACTCTTCCCCTCTAATTTCTCAGTTCTTATGGTATACTTTTTTAACAGTGTAATTTACTTATCTAGATGAATTAAATCTTTAATTTTGTGCTCAGTGTACAAAAAGAACGATTTGATAGTTATTTGGTTTTAAGGTTTTGTTTTGTTTTTTCAGTCTATGAGGAGCAGACAAAATTTGGTTAGTTGAAATTGTTAACATTACATAGTAAGAATGGGCATAGAGTGTGGCAGTTAAAAACATGGGCTTTCTATC